GATTCGTCGCATATAAATCTATCAACCACCTTTTCCATCGTTTTCAGTGTTAAAGAAATAAGACTAATGGAACGAAAAGACCTTGAGTGACTGCTTGCTCGCTTACCTGCCTTCGGAATGTACATCGCCTTTGCCACCTTCCACGCTTAAAGAATGTAACCCACAAGATGCCATTGACTCTATGACTGCACCAGAGTAATGGGAACAAATAACGACTCAAAAAAGTGCGTTGAGGCCTCCAAAGTCTGCTTTCGATCCTCAGTCATAGAGCCATCAGGCCGTTCTACCAGGCCCAACCAGCTCGCATATGTTTTGGAAAGTATCTTGTGAAGATATGCACTGCTAGGGAGTTCATATATGCACTTGCAAAACACGAATCCAATGACATGGACTTTTTAAACAGCTTTCTTGCCCTCAATCTAAGCCTTGAAAGCTCCTGATTCCACCACGGCCACTTTCTTTTGCTGCGCCTCGGTTTGGCTCACAAGCTCTTAGGGGAACTAGGGATAGTCGCCGTTTGGGTGTCGCTGGCCATTTCAATGTCCGCCATATTGATCCATCCACGAGGAGCTTTTCGGATTGAATCCAATCTGTGAATTAAGGAACTCGATACATTTCTTCTGTCAAGTTCCCGGTGACCAGAACATCAAACCTAATTTGCCCGTGGTCGGAAATTGATGTCTTAATTGAGATATCCATCCATCAATTCTATTGTTGATGAACTCAGTGCACAGAAGATGTCAAGCAACTTATACCTAATTGCATTTAAGAAAGTTTCATTTATATTACTGCTTACCCATACATTGGCCACTTTTTCTATTCTATTAGAAACTGAAAGTTCCTCCTTCCACAGAAATCCACAATATACGTCAATTGTTCGTGTGGATGGGCACAGTCATTCGGGATTTAGGACACAACAAACTCTCGTCAACTCCCGGGGGATCTCACCTGATCTTTGGAGCAGTAATCTGGAATGGGAAGATATGTTAGTCTTTTGGTAAACAAGATGAAGGCCCTAGATCTTCACCATGTAAGGCATTCTGTTTTGTTTTTCAAAAGTTAATGGTTGCCTCACGACCAGCGCAGGAAAGTACTGTCACTAATGGCAAGGCCAGGCACCTCATGGGAAGGCTAATTTTAACTGAGGACTGCCTGGTAATTCATAATTTCAGTATATTAAATAAATATACTTATTTATCATTTATATATATGTACGTTACACATATTTTAATATTAAGAATTATTATTTGTCGCGGAGTACTCAAAATTAATAAAATTAAAAAAATGTACCATTTTTCTGTCCATGGCTTCATGATTTTAAATTATCTGTACCATTTTTTAAATTTAATTTATGGCACACTTGGTAAAATTAGGATTTTAACAACACAGGGTTGTAAATATGCACACATAATTATACCTAATAATTTTTGTTTTTTATTTTTACATTTTTATTCTATTTATATAAGTATATTATTTATTATCATATACTCGTACATATTATATAGAAATACACACCATAAATATGTGTATGAAGTGCATGTATCATAATATATCATATTATATTCAAAACTAGATTGTAGAAGGGGTTGCCACAGGAAGAGACAAAAATTACCTATTTAAGCTTTGAAAAGTTGTCTTAGGATAAGGTAACCAAATACCAATGTAGTGCTATTATGTAGACAAAAGCAAAAAAAATCTAATCTGGTAAGTGCACAACAAGTTTATTTTTTTGACTGTTGCTCAAGATTTCAAAAATTTTCTTCAAAAAAATTTAGTATTTTAAATTTTTTTCGAAATTTTAGAAAGTCAGAAAACCTTTAAATTGTTTTTTTTGGAAAAATACAACTTCCATTTACAATAAATTTACCAATTTACTAGAAAACAAAACCTTTTCTGTAAGACTCTTTTATAAGAAAAACTGTTATACTCACTATGAAGAGGAATGTAGTCTGCAAAACAAATGTTTTATATCTCCTATATAATGAACTTTATATCTCCTACTTAAAATTTCCTACTCTTTTGCGGGTCGATAACCAGTAATCCAGTTCGAAGATAGGTAAAAGGTCCTCTGTATTAGCCCATTTAGGACGAGAGGGTGCTTCCCAGATACGGTTACCGCCAAGTTATCTGCGTAGGCGACCACCTTATAGTCCTCAACCTCCACGAGTACCAGGAACTGATAAATAACCATGCTCTTGGGAAGAGAAGAAAGCACACCTCTTGCGACTGGGTCGCAATCAGATGATTTCCTGCTGAGTTTTGCTCTGTTGAATTGGCTTCTGCATTTTTTACGAACACTATTTAACTCCTTGGACCACCACTTCGATTTTCTTATGCTGTTTCGTCATGACGTCACAGTTTTTTTTTTCTCCTTTCCTAAAAAGAAATCAACAAAAATAACCACGAAGAAAACACTACTTGATATAAAGGAAAATTTTTAATACTTATCTAAATTTGCTATAATCCAGTGTAATCCACTCAGCTGGTTTTTGTTCTTCACCTAAAATTAAATATATATTGGATTTAACATGTAATCTTATTTGCAATAAAATACTTACATGAATTTGCAATGTCTTCCAGCTATGCATCTACCAGTCCAGATGGGATCTTCAAGTACCGGTCCAGCACTTTTTGGTTGCTCTTCACTCCTCCATCGTTTTTTCCTTCCATTGCTGCATTTCCTTTTTGGGCTCCGGCTCCTATAAATCTTCATTTTTTTTTGTGTATAAAATTTTGATTTTCTTTCTTTAAAAATTTGTACTTCACATCACAATATAAATAAGACTGGTGGGTGACAGTTTGCAGCGATCATTTCTGCACAAACATTATATTTTAGTGCTGCCAACTGTCACCTATTATCATAGATGAGTTTGTTTAGAGTTATAGTCAGCTATTGATAGACGTGTAATGGAGTAAGAAAAGAAATAGAAGGTGAATGAAATGGACAATGGAAGGGGAAAATAGCATAAAATAGAAAAGAAGAAACGTAGAATTTTACAACAACAATATGTTTTGCGATGTATATAAGAATGATACATTGCATTTCAGGTTCGTTGAACTATACCATATGATCTATGTAAAAGAAAAGAAGAAAACGTTAACAACCGAAAAGTGGGACCGGCTAGGAACAACTTCACCGTTTGCTCAACCGCTTGTTCCAGAAATTATAAAAGGGACGGAATCATCCGGAAGAACTACTACTAATAGAAGTTCTCTAACCGCAACATATCGACTTTCGAGTTATGAATTTTTTGTCGAAATAAAAATAATTTTTTTGAATTGTATAATTTAAACCAAGAAAAAAGTATTGTTAAACAAAGACCATTTTTTTGGATTATATACATAATTTCAACCTTATATATAACATTTGTAAAAATTTGTATTGTGAAATTTTTTTGAAGAAAAAATTGAAGAAAAGGAAAATATAATATAATATATATAAAGATATTTATTTTGTAAATTTTTTAAAGAAAAAAAAGAGTACATGGTTTTTTTTGATTTGGTGCTTTCTACAATAAACTGATAATTATAAAAAAAGAAAAGAAAAACTTATCTTTTATTTAAATTCGTAAAAGTGTTAGCAATTATTCGCGAACATTTTTTGGTCCTTCGAGCCGGATATTTTTTAAAGGCAAATTTAAATTTAGAAAACTTGGTTTTCTTTATTGTAAAATTAAATTTATATACTTTAAATGAAGAACGGTGTTGCGTAATAAATTGGTGTTAAAATAGACCATGGATAAAGGTGGTAGTGCGATATATATATAAAAAAAACAATTAATAACAATTAATAGTGGTAAAAGTTTGAAAAAAAGGTGGTGTTTAAAACATTAAAAAAAATATTATTGAACTATTATATATTTGAATTTTGTTGCAAAGGAACAGTGTAAAATATTAAGATTTACAAACATTAAAAAAAAATAAAAAGAGAACATTGTGTTTTTTTGTGTGAATTTTTTGAAGCTGATAGTGCAAAACGGTTTCGGTATCGGTTCGCGTTTCGCGCCAATGGAATAGGCGGAGTAAGTGGTTCTGGAGTAAGTGGCTGGCTAACAAAAAATTAAGTAAGTCCGTTCCAATTTTTTTTAAAAAATATTTTCTTCTTTTTTGTTGACATTTTGGTTGACGATTTTATTATATGTTTGTTCAACCATTCTTAATAAAGTTGGATTGCTTGTGTGATGTCTAATTGATTTGTGGACATTGTTTTTTTTTGGATGGATGGAATATAGTTATTTATATTTTTGGGGCAACAGATTATTTGGAAAAAAAATAAGAAAGAAGATTTTAAAGTTGAAGGTGTCTTGTGCGATTTGAGTAGAACACGGTAATAATTGTAATTGAAATTACAAAAAAATATAAAAGGAACATAACTTTATCATTAATGATTGCACATATTACTAATCTAACATTCAACAATATTTTAAGATTATTAATTCGAACAATAGAAGCGTTGTTTTTTGCGCGGGGATTCCGTTTTTAAAAAGTGAATTTATGAGTTAACAACTTTTAATGCAAGAATTGTACAATGAATTGATTGAAAGTGTTTGTATGAATAAGTGAATTGTAATATAATTAAAATTAATTTAATACTGTACGGTGTCTATTATTTTTCAGTAAAGTTGTAAAAAGCGGGACATTTTCTACAAAATAAAAACTTTGTATAGAATAAAAATTAACTGAATTCTTGAATAAAATTGTGCGGTTGATTAATAATAAGCGTTTCTTTTTTTTATTGCCCGTATTCGTTTACTTTTGTATTTCGTTCCTTTTATATTGACGTAAAAGGATATTTTTGTGACACACCTGCTTTTTTTATATAGAAAGTATATAAGACGGACAAATTAATTAAGCTTCAATTAGCGGACAAGTTTTTGATCGAGGAAATAGTCTCACATTTCCTGGATGACACACGTGAAAGCAAGCCGAAGGCGTTTTACAAAGAAGCTCTAGAAGACATAGGGGGCCTGTATGCGGAGCTGAAGAAGAGACAAGCTGAAATGAAAACCAAATTCCCAGAGAGACCACCGGAGCTAAAGATGAACCCAAATCAAAGTATAAGCCAAAGGGTGGATGTTCCCAATATTTCAATAAATTTGCCAAAAATCACCTTGGCAAAATTTGACGGCGATTATCAGAAGTGGCCTTCGTTCTATGATCTTTTTAAATCTTTGGTCCATAATAATGAGATGATTCCAGCGGTTCAGAAATTACAGTACCTCAAATTGCACCTTTCCGGTGAACTAGAGCATTTGTTGAGAGCCTTTCAAGTCACAGAAGATAATTATGTTCAACATGTTGAGGGAAATTGTGACAACAAGCGAGTATTAGTTAATACTCAACTTAAATTGCTACTCAATCAAAGTTTTGTAAATCAGGAGACAGCTACAGCAGTTAAAAAATTACTGGACACTACTAAGAATGCTTACAGGCATTAAAGAATCTACAAATAGATGTGGAGGGCTGGGATCCTATAATAGTTTATCTCATCGTGCAAAAGCTGCCAACCGAGACACATCAGCTATGGGAACAGAGCGTCAGCGCGGAAAATCAATTACCAACTTGGCGACAATTGAAAAGTTTCCTTGAAACTCGATTTCGCACATTGGAGGCTATATCAACGAGGCGATCTTCATCACATAGACCTCCACAAAACGAAGCTAGTAAGTACAGGAATAGTTGCGCTTTGCATGCTGCTACGAATGCAACGGCGAAGAGTAACCCACCTTGCCCTATTTGTCGGAGCCCACACAAGTTGAAACAATGCAAAAGATTTTTGGGATTAAGACAAAACAAAAGATTGGAAGTTGTTAAAGGTAGGGGATTGTCTATAAACTGTCTTAATTCTGGACATATGATGACCACTTGCTCTAATCAACAGAGTTGTTTTAAATGTCATCAACATCATACCCTGCATAGGGACAACGAAGAAATTTGGGATCGAGGCCTATTACGGCGACAGCAGCAGACCGCAGTCGCATCACAAGTACGTGCGCACTACGTCTCACATGATCCGTCACCTCCAACCACGGCGGGTGAAATTTCGACATCGGCGCCAGCATTCGTACCCGGCAGCAACAGCCATGTTCACACTTGCGACACATCGGATGCACACACACAACAGGTTCTACTGGCCCCTGCGTGCATTAAAATAGTATGTCCAGCAACGGGACGTTATCAGAGGGCGAGAGCTCTAATCGATCCTGGTTCGCAGAGTTCTTTCATCACCGAATCAGCGGTTCAGAATTTGAAATTACGAAAAAACAGGACAATAACAAATATACACGGTGTATCAGAAAGCAACATCGGCCAATCATTATCAAAAGTGGATGTCATCATACGAGATCTACGCGATTCCAAGCAGGTGCGCACTTCGGCATTGGTTCTCAAGAAACTGACCAACTTGCTACCAGAGCGTAATATTCAAACCAAGGAGTGGTCACACATAGACGGATTGATCCTAGCTGATCCAAGTTATTTTGCAATGGGAAAAATAGATGTACTCATCGGAGCAGACATTTTCGGCCAAATTATTTTGGAGGGACTAAGAAAGGGACCCCCTGGTGCACCAATTGCTCAAAAAACTATTTTTGGATGGATCATAACGGACAATGTCGATAAACAAAGTGTCAACACGACATCAATAGAGAAGTTCCACATCCAATCCCATTTAGATGATAGTATCAGAAGGTTCTGGGAGTTAGAAGAAGTACCGGAACAAATAATATTTACAGAAGAGGAATTATTGTGTGAAAATCATTTTTCTGAAACATTTCGTAGACTTGAGGATGGACGCTATCAGGTTGAGTTACCTCTTATACCAGATGAGCGTCCCATATCACTTGGAAGTTCAAGACACATTGCGATTGCCAGGCTTTTCGGCATGGAGAAGCAATTTTCAAAAAATGAGGTATTGAAAGGCAACTACAACAAGTGCATAGCTGAATATTTAGAGATGAACCATATGGAGCAAGTGAATTCAATGGAATTAAAAAATCAACGACAACAAATCATCTCGAATTATTTGCCACATCACGGCGTCATAAAGGAAAGTAGCTCAACTACAAAACTACGAGTGGTTTTTGATGCATCACGGCCAACTTCAAATGGTTCATTATTAAATGACAAAACATTAAAGGGCCCGGTCATACAAGATGATTTATCTACTCTTTTATTACGTTTTCGAAAATATAAAATTGCATTTACAGCAGATTTGGAGAAGATGTATAGGCAAATCCGAATCGCACCGCAACATGCCGATTATCAAAGAGTAGTCTGGAGAGATTCTCCGAGTCAATCAATTCGGGACTATAAATTAACTACAGTAACATTTGGTACAAAATCAGCACCGTTTCTAGCAACACGAGTATTAAAACAGTTGGCGATAGATGAAAAGATAAACTATCCTATTGCATCAAGAATAACGTTGGATTCATTTTATGTGGATGATCTCCTGTCGGGTGCGGATTCTATCGAAAAGGCATTGGAAATGCAAAAACAATAATTGAACATGATGGCTTCGGGCGGATTCTCATTGCGCAAGTGGTCATCAAACGCAGCTGAGCTACTAGAAGCCCTTCCACAAGAACATCGAGAAATCAATTGGCCTTTAAAAATTGAAGAAGCTGAAACGGTCAAAACATTAGGCATACAATGGGATCCAGCAAACGACGAATTTTCGTATAAAATTTCCCTACTGGCAAATGATTCATAGAAATGGACAAAGCGAACAATATTGTCGGAGGTTTCAAAACTATTCGATCCTATCGGCTGGTTGGCACCTTGTACCATTATAGCTAAGATAATGATACAAAAATTATTTTGGGTTCAGGTTGGGATGATGAGGTAGAAAGGAGCTTGCACGATGAATTCTTGAAGATTCTTGTTCATCTGGAAGCACTACGTATAAACAGGTGGTTTTACTATTCAACATCGGCAAATAAAATAGAACTACATGGATTTTGTGATGCCTCGATAAAGGCGTATGCTGCGGTGGTCTATTTGGTTGTCATAGACGAAAAGGGAGGCCGAAAAACTAGCATGTTAACTGCAAGATCAAAGGTTTATCATAGGATGACTGATTGTGAAACCTGTAAGAGAAGAATAACTGGCGGGAACGGTATTCGCTGTGCCGGAGTGTGTAACAAAATCTACCACACTACAGCGAAGTGTGCTGGTCTCGATGAGTACCAGATCGGTATTATTGAAAGTAATAATAAAATTAGATTTATGTGTGATGAATGTATATTATATATACAAAATGTTGATATGGTACTGCAAAAAATGGACTGCGCAGTGCAAAAAAACAATGAATATTTAAAGGAATGCAAGTGCGATTTCGAAAACGCGTTAAAACGTAATGAAAACGAGGTAATGGGACTTTTAAGAACAATCGAAGAACGGTATATGGAACGATTACATGAAATAAAAAATGAACAAAAAAAAGAGATTGAAAAAATGGTTAAAATGACCGAAAATTTTAAAGTGGAAAGTGAAAAATTGAATGTAGTGCTAAATAACCAAACAGAAAAACTTAATAAAACGATTGTGCACTCGATAAAAAAAAATGATGAGTTATGCACAAATATAAGTAATGCTAAAATAAACAATGTAGGTCATTCAGTGTCATTCGCCGATATCTTGAAAAATAATAAAGAAAATAAAAATTCAGTGCCGATAATGAAAAAACACTTGCCATTAATTGTAAAACCTAAGCAAAAACTAAAGAGTGAAAAAACAAAAAAAGATCTTAATACGAAGGTAGATCCAAAAGACTTAAAAATAAAAAATGTGGAAAGTAAAATGAATGGCATTATATTGATAGAGACTGATTCAAAAGAAAATAGAGAAAAAATTAAAACCGAATTACAAAAAAAATGCAAGGTGATTATGATATTAAAATACCGAAGGAAATTAAACCAAAAGTAGAGATAGTGCATATGAATAACGGTTTCAGTGAGAGTGAATTAATAGAAAAATTGAAAAAACAAAATGAGGTATTAGAAAGAGCTGAAATGAAAATCATAAATTTGCGAACGGTGAAAAAATTTAATAGGGAAATGAAGAATGCCATTATAGAAGTCGATAAAGAATCTTTTCCAAAAATATTGAATATTCAAAAATTATGCATTGGTTGGGAAAGATGTAAGGTTTTCGATGCCATCTCAGTAAAAAGGTGTTTCAAATGCAATGGCTTCAATCATAAATCTACAGAATGTAGGAATGAGGAAACGTGTTTGAAATGCACAAAAAATCATAAAACTAGTGAATGTACCGAAAAACCGGTTGACATATGTGTAAATTGCAAAAGAGCTAACAAGAAATTTAAACTGGGATTAGATATAAAACATAACTCATTAAGTAAGCAATGTGAGGTCTATAAAAAAAACTAAACGAACTAAAACAAAAACTAGGCTACTAGCAATTAGAGAAATGTGAAAGGCACGCCTACTCTGCAGATGATATTAACAGTAATGAGGATAATACTAATGTTGACAAGAAAAATAATGATAATGATAAAAATAATAAAATTAATAATAATAAAAATAATAATAGTAGTAATAGTAATAGTAGCTACGATGATTATAATGTTGATGATAATAATAATGATGATGATGAAAATAATAATAATAGTGGTAATATTAATAATTTTAAAATTAATAGTGATAGTATCAGTGTTAAGAGTAATATTAGTAGTAACAATGATAATGAATTTGTTAATAAGCAAAAGTTACATAATGGGAAAATTTTTAAGATTATTCCCAAGTTTTGGTTGAAAAAGAATCCGAACACCAAAATTAGCACATATAAAATATCTAATAGTGCTGAGACGATTAGTGACAATAATAATGGTAGTAATAATAATAACATTAATAATAATAATAATAATAATAATAATAATAATAATAATAATAATAATAATAATAATAATAATAATAATAATAATAATAATAATAATCATAATAATGATAGTGTTAATGACAATGAGAAAAATAGCAATTATAATAATCATGATAATGATAGTGTTAATGGCAACAGGAAAAATAGCAATTACAAAAACTGGGTTAAAGGAGAAGTATTAAATCCACAAGTAGACGGTGATAAGCTGAAACAAAATAGCAAAATAGATGATTCCTTTTTAGATCCAATGGCTCCACCAATTGTAAAACTTACAAAAAAAGCTATTGAAAGTGATGATAAAATTTTTGTATTATCTCGGCTTAGAGATCATAGAATATACAACAATGTATGCGTCTTTTTTCTTGCGTACTTCTATGATCAAGATGATATCTGCTATGATGGTGTGACACAAACAAGCATGAAAGTGCTTATCGATCAAGAGGGATTACCAACGGATCCTCAAGAGTTGTGTAATATATACTTTAAATATCATGAAACAATAGGAGTAAAAAGGGAAAAAGTCATACAAGATCTTAAGATGTATAGACGCCATATCGACAATAAATACAGAGAATACCTCCAGAAAGTACGAGTGAATTGGCAAAATTATATGTTAAGTATACCATAATGATGACAAACAATAATTTAAATCAAATAGGTAATTTAAACATCCTATACTTAAACATATGCAGCATTAGACATAAGATTCTGGAGCTTGAAGCGTTAATACACAGTTATGAAAATGTGGATGTAGTTATTCTCACGGAAGTTTGGATTTTCGAAAATGAAGTCAACACGTATAACATTCAAAACTTTAAAGCTATTTATAACTGCAGAAATGAAAGGAGAGGTGGTGGTACAGCGATTTTTGTGAATAACAAATTAAACTTCAATGAAATTGAAAAAAATGAAAAATATAATTTTACTGTCATTGAAATCTTAAACACTCAGCCTAAAGTTAAGATTGGTACCTTCTACAAAGCACCTTGTGAAAATAGTACACTATTTATTGAACATTTGGAAACAAAAATAGATTAGCTATCAATGTATTTTCTTTGCGGATGTAAATATAAATCTTCTGGAGAAAAACAACTTAGTAATCAAATACATGAACATGATAAACATCTCTGGGTATAATTTTATAAACAAAATGCACAGTACAAGGCAAACAGCGGCTACTAGCACATTAATTGATCATATTGTATCAAATATTGATGACGAGCACAAAATTACGTATAAAATTGAAGAGAACGACATATCTGATCATAAAACTGCTATTGTTGGTATTGAGTTAACAAAACATGTGATAAAACCATACACCAAACTCGCACATACTAGAACAGATTATGTTAAAATGTGTGAAATAGTCACTAATGAGCTAGCAAAGATAAATATTACTGAAGTAGATGAATTGATTCATATACTTCAGAAGGCAAAAGAAAATTGTACAACAACAAAAACTGTAAGGTCAAGAAGTAACACGTGGATTACTCATACAATTATTAAACAATTAAAGATTAGGCGCTCCTTATATGAAGCACATAAAAAGGAACCTAGTAACACAATAAAAAAGAATAAGTACCTGAAAATGAAAAAGAAAGTGAGTAAACTTATTCTGGAGGCTAAGAATAAACATATCAACAATAGTGTAGAAAAAGCTGGAAATGACAGCCGAAAACTGTGGAACGTAATAAATTATACAATTAAAAATAATGATGATGAAATTAGCGACAGTATTTGTAATTTACTCAAACCAAATGGTGCATCAACTAATTCAGATACAGAAACCGCCAACTTATTAAATAAATATTTTAATGAAATTGGGGAAAAAATTTTAAATAATATCAGCACTAATAATATGCCGAATACAGTTGGAAATTCAATAAATCAAGGATCTGTATTTTTAGTACCGGTAACCGAAAATGAAATTGTTGAGATTACTTCAAATCTGAATAGGCATGCTGCACCAGGATCTGATGGAATAACAGTTAGCGACATTCAGCAATTAATACATATTATTAAAAAACCGTTATGTGATATGATAAATTTATGCCTCACTAACGGAATTTATCCTGAATGCTTGAAAAAGGCTGTAATTGTACCCATTCATAAAGGAGGAAAAAAAACGGTAATTATAGGCCAATATCTATACTAAATTCTATAAGTAAGATATATGAAAAGGCTATTAATAAACGAATCCGTAGCTTTGTTGAATCAACAATCGGCTTTGACAAAAATCAATATGGCTTCATAGAAGGAAGTGGTACTGACTCTGCTGTTTCAGTAACACTAGATCATGTATATGACGCTTTAGATGAAGGATATTACGTTGCGGGTGTTTTTATCGATTTAAGTAAAGCATTTGATGTGGTTAATCATAGCCGACTTCTAGAATTTCTTGAAGATTTGGGAATTAGAGGCACAGCAAATAGTTTATTCAGAAGTTACTTATCGAATAGAATGCATAGTGTGCGAATCAGAAACACGAAAAGCGCTGAATTACGTGTAAACACGGGTGTACCACAAGGATCTCTATTGGGACCACTTCTGTATTTATTATATGTTATGAATCTTTCTAATTGTAACATGGAATCAAAGTACACA